CTATAATTCACAACGAACGACTCACTCGCTTGACTCAATTGTCCGTTTCTATCTCTGTCTGCAATTCAATTACATTCCATTGTTGCCGTCACTTCTTGACGGTCTTATATACATGAATACCGCATATCTAGTAAACACTCGAGGCTTCACGAAGCTTCGAGAATATGACGTGTTACTAGAGTCACGTGACCCCCGCTGTCGTAACAGTATAGACGTAGTCTGGTCTGCGTCGAAGAGACTTGATGGTAACTTTCCTTGTGACGCAGTTTATATACACATGCAGTGTTTGTGACACAACATAAAATTAATAAATGCCATATTTTGTTGTCTATTTTTATATCTTTCCAATCTTTATTTGTCTCTTTTTCAATTTTCAGGGTGTTTCGCATATCAAAATTTATGGAGGACAGTGATTTTGAAGTTATGCGTCAGGCTAATTGGTCAGTAAAAAATATGTTGTTTCTATCATGACACACGAGACTTTTTTGCAATCAGTCCACTCTGCATTTAAAATTGTATTCACAAACAAAGCAAAATATCTTTTAAAAATAATATGGACATATATTTATACTTCTTAGCTTTAACTGTCACGAATGTACTTCGCACAAAACTACAAGAGGGTCAACTGCGCTAGCCGTCTCTAATTTAGAAATGATAGACAAGAGGGAAGGCAGCCAGTCAACACCTTTTACCGCCATCTCGTGGGACACTATAAATCGAATAGTAGAATTTGAGCGTGAGATTTAAAATGCATCGTCATTAAAAAGTGCGGAATGCGATTCTCTCTTTCATGACAGTAGTTGGGTGCGAAACACGGAACCTCAGACTGTCACGCTAACCACTAAGAGAATTGTTTTGTTTCTTTGTTTTGAATTTCGCGAAAAGCTACACGAGGGCTATCTGCGCTAGCCTTCCCTAATTTAGCAGTGTAAGACTAGAGGGAAGGCAACTAGTCATCACCACCCACCGCTAACTCTTGGGCTACTCTTTTACCAACGAATAGTGGGATTGACCGTCACATTATAACGCCCCCACGGCTGAAAGGGCGAGCATGTTTGGTGTGACGGGGATTCGAACCTCAGATTGCGAGTCGAGCGCCTTAACCACCTGGCCATGCCTGGTCTACACTAAGAGAACGAACGCCCACTGAAGTCTCTGTCGATTAGTTTGATACACGACATTTCACGCAGTAATACTTTCTATCGAAACGTCCTATTCGCTAATAATACGGAGAAGTAAGTATCTTATCGTTTCGTCATATTTGCCGTAGGAAGATGTTATGATTCTTAGAACTATCCTTAAAAACGATAACCACGAAAAATAAAAAGCTGCCTCAAACTTCCACTATGTTTATTCCACCAAGCGATTAAAACGCAAACAGCTGCGTATGTGTAAATCGTCCTGGAGCACGACGTAAATCGACTTTTCTTCTTTCCGACACCTATCAATATCCGTATGTCTGCAAATAAAATTCCCGGAACAAGTGAGATTTACTTCCTTGAATCGGATGGACGTTTCTTCCTATCACAATCGACATCCATTTACCATAGGCGAAAAAAAAACAAAAAACGATGAATAAAAAAAAAATGTATTTGTTTTTCAAAATAGAAACTAAAAAATATATATAGTCAACGGATGAGTTAAACCATAAATAAAACAAAACAAAAAATTACTTATAACTGAAACCAAAACCATGAATTCAAAAATATCACATTGACATCATCCTAACTAAACCGTAGTTCAAAT